TCAACAAAGGATGTTGAACAGGGAGCTGCCAGGGAGGAGGAAACAAAGATGTAGTGAAGGAGGGCAATGAGCAGAAGTTTGATGTGAAAAAGGAGATGGAGGCTGAGGATCTGCTGTAGTGACCTCTAAAAGTGCATACAGTAGTTCTATTATGTATCAATACCTTATGCCTGGCTTTTTTCTCTTGAAGGGGTCTATCCTCAAATATTCATTTTTCATAAGAGATGTCATCAAACCCGAACAAAGAAGTTCTGGAGAAGCGTTCAGGAACTTGAGAAGTGAGGTCTTCTTTGACTTTCCTGATTACTCACATGAGAAGACACATTTTTGTTTTTTTAACTCCTGCTAAGTTCAGACACTTAACTGAATACTTAGTCAAAGAAACTCACTAGGTATGTTTCCACTGTGAGAACTTTGGGGTAAATTCTGGGAGGAGCTCAGTCCTCTCATCTGTTGTCTCAATTTAAATTCAGCTCTTTCAGGACTTTGCACAGACGTCAGCATCGCGACTGCCTCAGCAGTGAGTGGTGTCACTGATCAGTGCTACAAAGCATCCACAGTAAAATTAATAACAAAAAGTTTTCTCCTATCAAACTCCAGCTAAATTTAATGTACTCTGAGAATAGAAGCAGCTGTGTAAAATGTGGCAATCAGTGACCAGAAGGAAGTTTAGTTTTTTACGGCGTTCTGTGAGAAAACAAAGTCCCCTGAATATACAGGTGCTGGCCAGTAAATTAGAATATCATCAAAAGGTTGAAAATATTTCAGTAATTCCATTCAAAACGTGAAACTTGTACATTATATTCATGCAATGCACACAGACCAATGTATTTCCAATGTTCGTTACATTTAAATTTGATATTCATAAGTGACAACTAATGAAAACTCCAAATTTGGTATCTCAAAAAATTAGAATATTCTGAAAAGGCTGAATATAGAAGACACCTGCTGCCACTCTAATCAGCTGATTTACTCAAAACACCTGCAAAGGCCTTTAAAAGGTCCCTCAGTCTTGTTTTGAAGGCACCACAATCATGGGGAAGACTTCTGACTTAACAGCTGTCCAAAAGACAATCATTGACACCTTGCACAAGGAGGGCAAGACACAAAAGGTGATTGCTAAAGAAGCTGGCTTTTCGCAGAGCTCTGTGTCCAAGCACATTAACAGACAGGCGAAGGGACGGAAAAAATGTGGTAGAAAAAAGTGTACAAGCTCTAGGGATAACCGCACCCTGCAGAGAATTGTGACGACAAACCCATTCAAAAATGTGGGGGAGATCCACAAAGAGTGGACTGCAGCTGGAGTCAGCGCTTCAAGAACCACCACGAGGAGACTCATGAAAGACATGGGATTCAGGTGTCGCATTCCGTGTGTCAAGCCACTCTTGAACAAGAAACAGCGCAAGAAGCGTCTCGCCTGGGCCAAGGACAAAAAGGACTGGACTGATGCTGAGTGGTCCAAAGTTATGTTTTCTGATGAAAGCAAGTTCTGCATTTCCTTTGGAAATCAAGGACCCAGAGTCTGGAGGAAGAGCGGAGAAGCACAGAATCCACGTTGCATGAGGTCCAGTGTAAAGTTTCCACCGTCAGTGATGGTGTGGGGTGCCATGTCATCTGCCGGTGTTGGCCCACTCTGTTTCCTGAGGTCCAGGGTCAATGCAGCCGTCTACCAAGAAGTTTTAGAGCACTTCATGCTTCCTGCTGCTGACCAACTTTATGGGGATGCAGACTTCACCTTTCAACAGGACTTGGCACCTGCACACAGTGCCAAAACCACCAGCACCTGGTTCAAGGACCATGGTATCCCTGTCCTTGATTGGCCAGCAAACTCGCCTGACCTTAACCCCATAGAAAATCTATGGGGTATTGTGAAGCGGAGGATGCAATACGCTAGACCCAACAATGCAGAGGAGCTGAAGACGACTATCAGAGCAACCTGGGCTCTCATAACACCTGAGCAGTGCCACAGACTGATCGAGTCCATGCCACGCCGCATTACTGCAGTTATTGAGGCAAAAGGAGCCCCGACTAAGTATTGAGTGCTATACATGCACATTCTTTTCATGTTCATTCTTTTCAGTTGGCCAACATTAGAGAAACAAACATTTTTTCATTGGCCTTTAGAATATTCTAATTTTCTGAGATACCAGATTTGATGTTTTCATTGGTTGTCACCTATAAATATCAAATTTAAATGTAATGAACATTGGAAATACATTGGTCTGTGTGCATTGCATGAATATAATGTACAAGTTTCACGTTTTGAATGGAATTACTGAAATATTTTCAACCTTTTGATGATATTCTAATTTACTGGCCAGCACCTGTACTGTGGGAGGAAATCATGCAGTTTTCTGGTGTTGGAGTTTAGCAACAGTGATTTTAAAGCAGCACGGTTTTATTTTGCTTCCATTCTGCTTCACAAGCAAGTCTTCTATCTTTACTAATGCCGCTTGTTTTGAACGGCATCTGCTGATGTAATTTCCTGCAATTACAACTAATCAAAGTGAGTTAACTAAAATTCCACTCAGCTACTCCAAGCCATTTTGAGTACCTTTCACTGATCATGTACTCCGAAGAAATGGTTTGATTGGTCGGCCCGGCGAGTTGGAGACACACTTATATCAGGATGTTTCTGTAAAATTACCCCGAAGTTTCGACAGTGGAAATGTGCCTAATGGTGTCCAGAAAACAGGTAGATCCCTAAAAACAGTGGCCACCACCAGCAGGCAAAGGGGGTCAAGAAAAATTGTAAATGGCCTGCATTTGTCTAGCAAATAAAACTGGTTGATGTGTCTAAAATGCATTTATTTTACTGCTGTGCAATAAATAAATAATGGATTTCTCTTTCCAACAATACTCATCAGTCATCATAAAATCAGAACCCTCTGTCTTCTGCTACTTGTTTCCAGCTTCATAGCTGCCAAATCAATAGAATGTGAACCACTGCAGATTGAGGTGGTTCCAGTGATTGGCTCACAGATTGTCTCCAGATTTCCCCAGACCCAGTGTTTATCCCAAAAGAAAACATAACCGGCATGACAAATCAATATCTCTTGATGCTAGCTGCTTCAGGTCGGGACCCAAAAATGAGCTGTGTCCTCTTCCTCTTGGGCATCAAAAAACGCAATAAACAACTTTTTGTTTTTCTACAGAAGGATTTTTAAGTTATTTGATGCTTCCTTGACCAAATCCTTTATTTGGAAACAATAAAGAACTGTTAATATGCACAGTGAGCTAGAAGAGAGTTTTAATGCATAAAGAAAACTTGATTTTAAATTTAAACAACACAAACACTCGGATCATCCTCCAGAACCTCCAGGATGTCCAGAGAATCATTATGTTGTGAAAAAGGATGCCAGATGTCAAGGCTTGAGTGAACCATAAAGTAAAAACTCAACTACTCAAACCCAAATGGGCATGAGAGGGGGTAGGGGAAGTAGATTCTTCTTCTTTTTTCTTTTTCTCATTCTTTGTCTTTTTTTTCTTGCTCTTCTCGATCTTCTTGTTCTTGTTTTCTTTTTGCGCTATTTCTTTTTTCTTTTACCTTTTCTGCTTCTTCCTTCTCTTTTTCTTCTTCTCATTATTAAAATGCAAAGTAGATTATTTTGCATCACTTTCCCACTAAAGTCATAATGAGGAGAAAAACAACCCTGCAAACAGTCAACTTCGCATGGATGTGCCGATCATGTCTATATTGAGTCTGTTCGTCCAGACCACGTCTGTAGGATGTCCAAACTAGGTCTTTGTACAGTGGGAATGACTTTTAACGTAATCTTTGGAACCATTTTGGCTACAATAAGCCATTATAAAATGAATTTTGCTGTTTGATTGATAAAACTCCTCAATTCAATTCAATTAATTTCAATTCAATTCAAAGCTACTTTATTAATCCCAGAGGGAAATTAAAGCTCCCACATGGTTGTTGTATTGTTGTATGCTGTATGTGGGACTCCATCTATAAATGTGGAATATGTAAAAAATGTGCTTTGTAAATCATTCATACAGTAAAATATGCACCAACTACCATGGCCAACTGCATGAACAGAAAGGTTTCCTATTGGATATATTTTTGGGTTTGAACTTGTAGGATATTAAAAATAAACAATAAAATAAACTAGAGAGAGAGAGAGACAGAGAGAACATTTCATTGGATTAAATTATGAAAGAGATGAGAAAATCAGGTAGTGGCAGCAAAACTTCATTTACATTGCAAACATTTTGAATGGAATTCAGTTTATTTATATAGCTTTAATTCACAAGAGTCATCATGTTCATGCTAAAAGAAAACTTTTTTTTTACCATTTCACCATCTAGTGACATTTTAAGTTTTGTAACATTTACCACGTCGTTGCACTTGTTTCCTTCTGTTATCTAAGCTGCACTGTAAAGCCTCTGCTGATTTCAGCAGCATTGTAAAGGTGCTGAGCAATGTAGCTAAAATGTAAGTGTTTAAAATGCGAGGCCTATCTAGTTCAACAAAAACATAGGAAAGGCCAAACGGTTTACACTTCTATTTGCCCTGCTGGGTTACATCAAATGTCCTTTCACTAAAAGGTCAGCATGACTGAACTAATGAAGCAGCTGAATATGTTTGGTCAGAAGGCACAATAAGCGCTGTGAAAAAAGACGTTGTTTTTTTTTTCCAAAGCCCAGCGGCAAAAAAAAAAAAAAACACCCAGCCTCTTTCTTTGCCACTTACACAGTTGTTGACTTTAAACTCTATTGATTAGTTAAACACAGCATGAAGAGCAAGGACACAAACGCTGTGCAGTCTTTCTTGTCTTAAATCACAAACTTTTCACTCTCCCTGGTGCTTTTCCCACCACTATTCTTCTTCACAGGGCTTCTGTTTTTATTTCCACCTGCCCTTTTCAGCCAGCCCTCTACTTCTGTTGTTTTACAGAAACATCATCCCTCTGTATATGTGCTCCTATTGTCAATTCCACTTGCTCAACTTTGTTGTCTTTTGTCTTTCCACCCACTCCAACTCTCTTCAGGTCATCCATTACAACAGTCTATATTGAAGTTTTACCGCCAAACAATCAGAGCCCTCCTCGTTTCCCGCGGCAACAATACAACCTCGAGATCAGTGAAGCTATGAGGACTGGTGCTACACTGCTTAACCTGCAGGTAAACACACACACACACACACACACACACACACACACACACACACACACACACACACACACACACACACACACACACACACACACACTCCAGCACAATCAGTAAGATTGTATTTTTGCAGAGATTTTATTTCTTCGAGGAAATCTTGAAAGTTTTGCACTAAAAAATAAAGGCAAGATGTTACGCATTAATTATATGTCACAGTTCACTTAATCACATTTTTGCTGAAGCTGTTTTCCATAAATCTTCAATACACTTTAGCTTTTTCAGCTTATTCTTCATTTTTCATTCATCCATCAATAACTATGATATAACCAGCTAAAGGGTTTACTGGTTAAATACATATTGTTTAAACTGATCCATTACTTGAATGTGTTTTTCCTTTTGAGTTCCACTTGCCATGCTTCTCTATCATTGTTGTTTAATTTCTTTTAAATAGATGTCCAAACACTTTACACTTTACACTGCGTCATGCTGCGAACCCTACTCCAGTCGCCTTCTGTTTGTGTGTTTTGTCCTTTGGAAGAACCTATTCCTGTCTGTGGATGTTTGCAGGTTTAAAGTTTACTGGAATATTGTGTTTGATATTCCATAACTAGAAGGGAGTCAGAAAAACCTTGTGAGGATTTGTGACATGTAGACTGAGGTGTATGTTTTGAGACTTGTGCTTTGAAACTTGTACATTTTTTTGAGTACGTTACAAAACCAAAGTTTCACGTTGCAAAACAAGAATTACATGCAATAAAATGAAAGTTACATGTTACAAATTACATGAATTAAAGTCTAATCCTCGCTCAGTACTCCTGGGCCATATGGCTGTTGGTCTCACCAATCAGACACACTTCTGCACCCCCGCGTCCTCCACTTATCACACACTCACGTATTTAGTAACAGAACACCACTGGTGTGAGAGGTTCTCCGCTCAATAATATCAGAAAAGAAGAAACAGTCGGCTGCTTCCACTTGAACTTTAGGACAAACTACCAGAGTTCCAAAAAGAAAAACACAATTTGAAGTCAAGTCACGGATGACAAAAGGTGTTTGAACCTGGAAAAACAGTGACTGCAACATGTGCAACAGGTGGACGACCTTATTAAATCTGCACCTACTCAGTGTGAGTGTGTGTGTCACTGTTTTCTTGTCTTTCTTAGGCAGAAGATCGAGAGGATGACCTGATAGCCTACACAATCCAGAGTGGAGATTTTAAAGGAAATTTTGAACTGCTGCAGAAGTAAGTTTTTTCATGCACAGATCATCTAGTTAAGAAAAAAAAAACAAGATTCATTTAATTATTATTGTTAAAATCTGTGGACTATGTATGTAGCCTAATTTGTATCTGTATGTGTGTGATTGTGACTAAAAGCAGGATGAATTTTATTATGCTGCTTGGACTCTGCCAAAGGCTTCAGATAGACAAACACCACCTCTCTCCATCATGCACACACAGACAAACTCTGGGGGCTTTTATTGCATTTATAAAATTACTATTTTATCACATTTTTTAAAAGCATTTGTGGTGCTGGAATAAAATGCTCCTAGAAGGGGTATGGAGGGAAACGAAAAGAGTCGAAGTAATGAAAGGCTGCATAAATGGGCTGAAGTCTAATGATGAAGGAAGGAAGGAAGGAAGGAAGGAAGGAAGGAAGGAAGGGAGGGAGGGAGGGAGGGAAATTAAATTAAATTCACCAGCTTTCATTTTTACATTTTAGGAAGATGTGTTGGGATGTGTGTGACACTGAGCAATCTCCTAATATGTACATGCCTGAATGCTGCATTGCCTCAGCAGGACTTTGCACTGTGGCACAATAAAAACAATTAAATGTTGTGCTACACAGGTTCAATGTGCCATGTAACTTAGATTGCAATGTTAATTTTTCAAAGTTTTGCCAAAAATTAAGCTCATAAAAGTGCATCAATTTTAAACCAAATAATTGCTGCTTGGAAATCAATTTAACAATGCTGACTAATCTATGGCTTAGCCCACACTTGGAAATTTATTTTTAACTGGTTGTAGATCGCCTGTGTAACGCTGTTGTAATTAAATAAAAGGATAACAGGTACAAAGGTCCTTCTGAAGGATGCAGCACTGTCTAACAAACAAAGCATCACCCTGAGGGCTGTTTGTTGGTGGTGGAGAGGCAAAAGACCTAAGCTCCTATTTGGTATGCAAATAATCATGATGGATTGACAGACGATCGGTCGGTCGGTCGTTCGTTCCAAGCTTGGAAATGTCCAAATGTCTTGCACCGTAGAACTGTAGATCTGATCATTCTGCAAAGGAAAGCATCGTTCATGGTTCAGGTTACAAACGTAAACAAAACCCACTACTATTGACATCAAAGTTGTTCAAAATTAAAGATATTTTAACATTAGAAACAATACCGTACCATACCAGTTAGATATTGTGTTACATTTAAAAACAGCATGGCAGCTGAGCAAAGTGTCGTACAAGAAATGTACAAAAAAGATACTAGGCACCGATATAGACATTGTTCCATAGAGACAAATGTTGTATCAACATACTAAAAATTCACTAAAACTAGAAACTGCATAAACAGCATTTAAAAACAAGTAAAAAGGCCTACAACTAAAAGCAAGACTCATTTACAACAAAAGGGCTACAAAAGTAGGGATTAAAAGAAACTGAGGAAAAAGTAATCACCGACCAAAAGCCAAGTTGTAAAAGTGTGCCTTTAGTATCGATATAAATCTAGCAAGGGAGTGTGTCTGCCTCTCAAAAAGTGGGATTGTGTTCCAGAGTTTGGGGATGGTAAACAAGAAAGCTTGCTGCCCACATGATTTGTACTTTGTCCAGGGGTGCACTGTAGCAGGTGATCAGCTCACCTTAATGAATGTGAGGGCACATATGGGGTGATCAACTCAGACAAATAATCAGGAGCTTAAACATTCATAGCCTTGTAGAGATAGGTCAGAATTTTTAAACTCACCCGATAGCATACGGTAGCCAATGAAGATCTTTCAGGATGGGAATAAAATTAAAATGTCTGTTAGAAACCTTTAATCCTCCCACTGTCTTCATGGGTGACCCCTGCCAGGAAAGTTGACCATTGAGCAGGATTGATGGTTTATCCCTTGAGGTCCACGTGGCAGGGTTGAGATGGTGCTCACTCCTCCTGGAAGGGTCACCCATGAAGACAGTGGGAGGGTTAAAACATTTTTAAAGCCAACAATGGTCTACTACCTGGTAGTACCAGGACACATGTTTTCAGTGAATAAGAAAGGGGTGAGTAGAGTAGAGTAGAGTAGAGTAGAGCACATTGAATTGCCTGTGTGTGAAATGTACTATATAAATAAAGCTGCCTTGCCTTGTTAAGGCAGCAGATACACTTAGAGAAATAGGAAGAAATAATGCAGGTAAATATACCAGGGCATTAGGCTATACCATAAACTTCAGCACTCCAAAAATAAATAAAAATAGAAAATATCTGTGTCCAGAGAAGATCCTGGGTTTGTTTTGGTCTTGATGCCTAAGCTACAGAATCCTATCCCGCTGAGTGTAAGACAAGCAGATCATTCCAGATCTTTAGGAAGTACGTGAAATCTTATTTTTACTCATTGGCTTTTTACACATAGTGGGGTTATCTAAGTCTTTTATTTTTTTTAGAGTACATTTTAAACTTTTATGTCTCTTAACTATTTTTGTGTATTGTCTTGATTTTGTTTTAGCAAAGTTTTACACCATGTTTTAGACTTTGTAGTGAATATATCATTACAGTTAATTAGAAACCATAAAATGTGAAATATCACGAAATATGAAATATCACCTTAATGGACCTTTTAATAAATTTAACCAGAAGATCACATCTTTTTATTGCAGGGATTGAGCAACACTTCATATCAACTTCAAGAAAAGAGAGTGAGTCAGGCTTAAAAGTGAAAAGATTTATTACTAAACAAATTAAACAAGACTAACTTAATTATTTGCTCACCCATCTTGACGCGCGACAGGGAATGCTGTTGCTTTAGTGGTCATGATACACCAGAGAACGTCTCGACTAGTAGAGTCTTACCATTAGCATTAGCAACTCCTCCACACAGCAGAACTCCTCCAGGCTTTTGGTATTTGTGGAGAAAAATCATCAACTTTGCAGAGCAAATAGGGTCAGCGGTAGAGTTGTGTTGCTGTTAGCTAATCTGACGAGAGATGTCCAAATATCAGGAAATAAGACTCCAAAGCCAGTTGCCTGAAGCTATTTTCTCCTCCAGCTGATTTCTACATCTTACACAGGTGCACCGGATCTTTTTTCCCCAAAGAATGACTTACAAGGCATTTATTTCCACTAGAGACCACCTCAAATATATTAAAATTGTGTAAAGTTGACTTTTAAAAGAATAAATTTAGTGGCGTTTATCTTCCCTTTCATGTCGATGACAGGCCAAATCATGGCATGCAGATTAGTAATTGATCTAAATCAAATCCCTCATCAATAACGGTTAGTTCAGCCATCTTTTTTCACTAATGATTCAAATCAGTCCAAACTGAATTACAAGTTCATATTTAAGGGGTTTGGGACTAAAACATGCCTCAGAAGTTATTTGATTTGAGTCTTATTCTCTTCAGACTTGTACGTGGAAAGCTTTTAAACAGAACGTGTCCTTGTACAAGTTATTTGAAAGTGTTTTCTGGAAAGTGATGAATGCCTGAAATGTTCCACACAAATGTGTTTATCCCTATTGTCATTCCATTTCATGGAAATAAACATGATATTTCACACATTTTTATCATTTTTTATTTAGTCTTGTTTACTAATTAGAGTTTGTTCTTTATTATTATGTCATAATTGTTAACCAGAGTTGGTTGTTTTCTCTCCAGTTCGGGGTATTTAATTCTGCACAGCCCTCTGGATCGGGAAACGGTGGATTATTATACACTGGTGGTCACAGCCTCAGACGGACACCCAAATGGAGTAAGAGATTACTTCACTGTACTTTTATCAAATGTCTGACTTTACTTGAGTTTTGTTTTGGTATTAAAACAAAAGAGCAGCACCTTTATTGCATTTTTTAAAGGGGTACTAGAGAGAGAAGGGAAAAAATCCATTTACATAACAGAAATGGGAACAAAATTATCAAATAGACATATTTTAACTCCTAAAATAAGCAAATGTGCAATCTGATTGGAAACAATTGGACTTCAACCAACATGACATCTTTGGCTGAGTGCAGTCAGTGTCTCCTCAGCAAATAAATTAAACATTGCTTCCTCACTAGTTAATCTTCATTTGTCGGCCACTTGCACATTCGATCCTATGCTTTTCATCTCCAGCCACTCCATCTTCAAAATTCCATTCATAATTACATCCAGCATCTCTCCTCCAACACACACATCCAAACCAACCAGTTATTTCCATTTCACTTTGTTCCAGAATAGTTCAACCTGAGATAGTCACTCCTGATCCTCTCCAACCTCGTCACCCCATCACATCTTTAATTCAGCTGCCCCCTGTCTTTTCATCAGTGGCAGTCTTTAAATCCTTTAATTCAGCGAGTCTCTCTAGTGTTTTGTAAATCTATTCTTTTCTATTCCTCCTGGTACCTGTACTCACAAGTCTTTGACGTCCGTCTCCACCCTGCCTGCACTCTCGTCTTCACCTTTTCTCTGAAAAGGTGAAAGTTACTTAGACTTAATTTTCTTCATGACCTCATTGTATTCTTACCCCAAAATTCCACTAGCTCCGCTCCGCTCGGCACGAACTCCGCAGCAAAAACGGTCCCGTTGTAGTCAATCAGAGCTGTTCCACTACTGCGGCCGTGCGGCGCAGTGCGCCGCCCGCCGTTCCGCCATCCGGCAAAAATAGGATCGATTCTATTTTTGCCAGACGCCGGAGCACCTCCGCAGTCAATGGACAGAAATCACGCCCGCCCAACAGGAAGGGGAGTAAGCACAACTTCCGTTATTTCACAATAAATTGATAAATAAAAGCGTTTTTTGTTTCATATGCACAGGTTTAACAACTTTTAACAACTATCAATGGCGGTTGAACTTAAAATGCACAAAAATAAGCCATAAATACAGTTTATACTATCAAAGTAGTCACCCTTTGTTGATCCAAACACTGCTGATCTCTCAACACAAATGATGGGCAGATTAAACAGTTCATTTCGATGCTTCTCCCACACAACGGGTGTTTGGATCTAACTTCCGCATTTATTGCTCGGACTGTATCGCAGGATCTCGAAAATCCCGCGCATACCTGTTTACGCACCTCAGGTCTCCGCACCGGAGCTGAGCCGTTGTAGAGCGGGTACCAGTAAAAATTGAGTTCGGAAGCGAGCGGCAGCGGAGCAGAGCGGAGATAGTGGAATTTGGGGGTTATATATAGGCACATGTTCTCTCCTGTTACGTTTTAAGACCCTCACTTTTTTAGTACAGTTTCATCTGAGAACTTTAATATCTCAACAAACTCTTGGCCCATATCTTTCTGAAACCTGAACAGCACAGTCTAACTGCCAGAACCTCACTCTTGTACACTCCTGTCACATCAGGACTTCCTCTTCACAAGGACCTCTACCATCCGTAACCATATTGATTTATACATTAATGATTTTATTGCAGGACTCCAGTATTGTGGAAACTGTGGCTCTTTTTTTTTTTTGACCATACCAAATTGTCCATGAGACATTTTACAAATGTGTGACCTAATGAGACCAGAGGTCATTTGGTCCCAGACAGGGCTGGGCGATGAATCAAAAATGTATAATCAACATTTCTGACTCTAACCAATATCATTTTTCCCATGGCAATAAACTTGAAAATGAAACAATGAAAAGATGTGTGTAGGTTGGCAATGTTCAAGTCCTTTAGGAAGCTGGACCACCTCGAGTCACATGACTCAACGAAATATATGTGACAGCCCCATCTAGTGGACAACGTTTTGGCACATGCACATACTTATCATCCATTTATTGTTATTGAGATAAACTTCTCAAAATGAGATGATATTGATTTTAGGCCACATCACCCAGCCCTATTCCCAGGAATTAACAACATTTCGAGGAGCAGTGACATCTTCCAGAGAGAATAACGACCTTTGTTAGTCTGCAGAGCTTTTTAAACCTTCACTGATATTTCATGTTGAAGAAGTTGGTACTAATTCATCATAAGATCACTAATGTTGGGCAGTATATAAGTAATAATAGTAGTAGTCGCTCCATATCATATACATCCTTAGCATCAAAACCACATTAAATATATATTGAAGTTTGTAATTTATTAACAACATATTTTTGTTAATTTACTTTAAAGTTATGTCATATTTTACATTTACACCTCCAGGTCCAGTGGCCTAGAGTTTCACATGCTGATCATCTGGATCTCCGGTTTTAAATGAACCACATGGAAGCCCAGAGGAGGCCTTCAGAGTTGATTTTGATTACATCAAAGGTTTATAAATTATTTAATTATAAATTTTCATGTTACACAACAAAGCAAAAGCAACTTTCTCCCAAATACCTGAAGCTTTTGGATCTCAGTGGTTAGAATGCAAATGATAATTTAGTCCATAAATACTGACTTCATTGTGAAGCACTTTAGTAAAAGACAGGATCGGGGGAAAAACAAATGTAGGGAAAGCAAAACAAACAATCAGGTAAACATACAAATGTTAACTCAACTTTAAGAAATCCTTGACCTCATTGGCTCTCTAAACCAGCACAGAGCATGAGTATTTGATCTTTTCTGTCTTCTTTTAAAATTACTCTTAGTTATTTTCCTAATGACGTCTGAATGCAGTGAACCCTGATTTTTACAGAAGCCTCTACTTCTGCTGGCTTCCTGTCAACAAAAGGAAACTCCAAGACTTATGTCTCTTCTTTTCCCAATTTCCCAATATTTTTGTCTATTTTTTTTTTGTAGTAAAAAAAATGAGCCACTGACCAGGGAAATAATCCAAGTGAAAGTATTCCATTAAGTTTAGGTCTGTTTTGGGAACTTCCGCTCGAGTTTTATTTATGAATGTAAACTACATCAATCAAAAAAATTAAAATAAAATAAAAGTTGTTTTCATTTGGCCACCTGCTGTGTCCAGAGACAGGAACACCCTGGACAGGTCTCTAGTCCATCACTGGGACACACAGACAAACAACCAGTCAAACACTCACTCACTCAAGGACAATTGGGAGTCCTAAATTCACCTGAGATGTATAATGCTGGTCTGTGCGAGGAAACCGGAGTACCCTGAGAAAACCCATGCATGCACACAGAGAACATGCAGAAGGTGGGATCGAAAACGGCATCCTTGTTGCTGCAAGGCACCTGTGTTACCAACAGCTCCAGCATGCAGCCCTGAAGTACTTCTGTTATCTTACTGAGAGTTGTAGCCTCATTTCCTGCCACAAGAGAGCTAAGGTGGATAATGATGGTGGCAGCTGAAGAGGTACCTACCTTGAAGTGATACTGATAACAACCCAGCACTTTAGTCACGTTGCTGTCATGCTGCAAACTATAAATAGCATGACCAATCTGAAAGTGACCAAGCATGAGAAGGCCAGTAAATTCCTTCATATCCACCTTCAAACTGTAAAATGTCAGGCTGATTAATCACATAGTTACCTGCCAGAATGCATTTGTGATGACTTTTGTGTAATTTTGCACACATTCATTGAATTTGACCTGAGCCATTTTGCGAGAGACAAAAATAAATAACTGTGCCCACAAAATTCTATTATTTGCTTAAAGGTGTGGTTCGCTGAAAAACATTTAACCAAATCTTATTTTTGATTATAATCGGTCACTCTGAGATTTCCATGCAGGCTGAACATGAAAATAGTCTCCTACACCTATCTCCTGCATTAGCTTCTGATAGAAAATAGACAATAAAACTCTAGGATTTGAAAATCCTGAAAGATCTATGTCACACTGTCACTTAACATTCATGGATTCATCTTTACTCACGATAGGGAAGGCTGTCGTTTTTCCATCCATCCATTCTCTTCCGCTTATCCCAAGTCGAGTAGCGGGGGCAATAGCCCAAGTCTGTTGTTGTTTTATAATAGTAAATAGCCTGTGTTTGTATAGCACCTGCTTAGGTTTCTACAACATCCCATGGCTATTCTCAACACAAGCAGTCATTCACACACTGGTGATCATGAGCTATATAGCCACAGCATTTTAGCATTCAGGAATCGGCAATGAATGTCTCAGCTAGTAGAAGCTAACCGTTAGCATTAGCAACTCCACCACAAAGCAGAACTCCTCCAGGCTTGTGTGATTTGCGGAGATAAAACATCTGCGTTGCAGAGCAAACACAGTCAGTGGTACAGTCACGTTGATGTTAGGCAATCAGAGGAGAGATGTCAAACATCAGGAAATGAGCCTCCAAATCCTGCCATCTGAAGTTCAGCTCACTTCTGACTCACTTCTACTTCCTGAAACTGGTGCACCAGAGCTTTGTTTCCCAAGAGTACCACATACAAAGTCTCCATTCCTAGAGAACACTGCAAATATATTGATTAAAGAGCAAGTAACGTCTAAATAAACTTTTTTTTGCTGATGAACTGAATAAATGAGTGTCTATTAGTGTTTTAAATGTGTGCATTCTTTATTTTAGCATTTTGGTGCATTTTCTTTAAAAATTAAAAATTCTGTCTAAAAACCACAGTAATGCGCCACCTTCAGCTGAAAACATAGAATCTGAGTCATTTTGAATAAATTTTAGCCAATGGCTAAAGAGTAAGATACTACGTAAACCAGTAGAGTACTACGTAGCAGCTCCATGCCAAAGTTATAAAAGCAACGAGCGTCTTGGCCACGCCCTGTGGCGAGTGGGAGTTGGATTTGCAAGCGAGCGTAGGAGGTCAGCGGTAGTTCAGCATTAGCATATAGCATTAGCATATCCTAGTCTTAGCATATCTTTTAGTGTTATAAATACTTATTTAGTGTTAGATTTGGCTGTTGGATATTGTAGTT